TTTTTTTTTTTTTTTTTTTGGCCTCAGGGCATGTGGGATTTTAGTTCCCCGACTATGGATCAAACCCATGGCTCGAATCCGTGGCCCCTGCAGTGGAAGTACAGTCTTACCCACTGGACCGCAAGGGAAGTCCCTCTCCCTCCTCTTAATTTCTGTAATACACACGGTCTGCAGCATCCCTATTTGGCACTTAGCATATATTATCTTGCTATACGCTCATCTATCTATCTATCTATCTATATATCTGTGGCTACGTTATAGTCTTATATATCTTTATATTGTTTTATGGCCTTGGCATCTAGCACAAGGCTTTGCACAGAGTAGGAATCCTATAAATCCTTGTTAATGTGAATACTAAGGATGAATCAAGAGCACCTATTCCTAAGACAGGTTTCTAAGACCTCCTCCAGCACAGAAACACTTTAAATCCATCATGTTCGACACCTTTAACTCTTTTTTCTTCACAAATTAGTGTGAGTCGATCACCTAAATTCAGATTACTCTTCCTTTCCAACCCTCAGCGTTCTCAGGTTCCAGAATAAAAAGCGCAGTACTCACAGTGAACTTTATTTGGATTTGTCTGTTTCCGACGGGACATGTTTCCCTGATCCAAGAACTCTGGCTCTTCCCAGTTTCACGACTGGATGTTACTACCTCCTTGCAAGGTGCTGACCTACAAAAAAAAAGGATAATGTTAGCACATGTCATTTTGCTCATAAATTATACACAATTAAAAGATGAGAGACTTTTTAAAATAGTTTTTCAGCATATATAAAACTCACCAGTTATAAATCATTGAACTTCTTAAAGAAAGAAAGAAATGAATAAATCTCTAGCACACTTTAAGGTCCCAAGAAGTTTCAGAGAGAATTCCAAAGGATTTAGAGAATTCCACTCTAAATCCAACTCTGGAATCCATAATACTGTTAAGTGATCATGATCAAGCTCAGAGGGTAGAAAAGGAAGCCAAAAAACTCAGGCAACCAGCGTTAGAAGCACCATGGGCTCAAAGGGATAACCCTCATGAATTGTAAAAGGAAGCAAAGGAAGTTAAACAGGGTGGCAGCTCATATGTCACATGCCCTCTGGAAGTCAAGCCCTGCAATCTGCACCAATGAGAGCCTCCAGATGTTTTTTTCAAGAAGTTATCTCGCCTAGAGGTGACGAAGGCACCACATCCCTGTGAGACAGGAAATATCTCAAAAATTCTGGGCATCTGTAAATGAAACATGGGAAACAGAGCCTCTACCTAGGGATGCAGGCACAGTGCTAGGCACTGTGGATGACAGGGCACTAAAGCAAATCAGACTTCATGTTGAAGATGGGCTTTTACCAGAAGAGCCAGGTGCCATACACATTGTTGGGTACTAATTCAATACCTCAGTGTGGAACATCAACCTGACCCTGCTCACATGCTCCCGAGTGGTGGTCAAAGTTAATAACTTTAGTGCCTCTTCTCAATCCAGCCTCTTGTAGCAAAGAGTGGGAAGAACAAAGAGAAAAGGTCCCCAAATGAGAAGTGCTGCAGACATGCACCTGCTTCCCTGAAACAGGAGAGAACAGATACTTAAGCCTAGAGGTTCTTGGTTAGTTATAAGAAAGGCTTTCCCAGCATTAAGTGTTGTTAGAGAGTCCGAAATGGATTAGTAGTGGAAGCTGTGAATTTTCTTTGAAAGACAGAGTGAATAAAAAGACATAGATTAAAAGGAGATATTCTCTTTCCTACCAAAGATGAGAACATGGATCTGGTCACCCTCTAACTTTTCTTTCAGTTCCTGCCTTCTCAAATTGTACTCACACTAATAAGCAAATATAAAATTGTAGTTTATTGCCTTAAGAGGCATTATGAGAGGCTACTTATTACCATCTACACTTTGCACTCCAGTTAGTGAAGACTCACCTACTGTTATGCCAACTAATTCCTCTATGTAGCTAGAAAGGACCTCAGACCTGTAATCAGATCCTGCCTCCCCTTACCAAAAGAAGAAAGAAACCGCAAATGGCAAAGACAGGCCTCCACAGGAAGTGGCAAAGGAAGCAGCTTTCAGGCAGTCTTCTATCATATCTGCATATCAAACACAGTTCTTTTTCAGACCTTTAATTAGAAAAAAAAAACAACAAACTCCAAATGTATACAGTAAAAATCAATTTTAAGGTAGTATGTTGAGTGCTAATGCTAATGAAACATGTTCTCTAACTTTTGTTTGTGTAGATCATTTCTTTCTAATCAAGTAGTTATTTTACAAATTGAAGCAGTGAATGAATATTACACTTTGGATCTTTTCCTATAAGTCTGTGGAATCACAAAGTGGAAAGCTGAATGAAATGCAGGTTGCCTATCATTTTTTTTTCTAAAATTTGCAGAGCTATAGCTCTCTATTGTGTAAGGAAGAAAATGAAACCTTAACTAATCTTTAAATTTTCTTCCTATTAAGATCAGAAATTGAAACTGTGAGATAAAGGTAATAAAGATCCTTCTGAATGAAGGCCAAATAATATGACACAGGCTCTGTTCAGATCATCTTGGTGAGGCAACAGCTCAATACTAAAGCTACAAGTCAGAAACAGAAATCAACATCTGGCATATTTAAATCACCAGTGTCCACTGCATCTCACAATCCTCCTAGTGGCCAAATGGGGAACCAACCAGATGGTACCCAATGGGACTTCACACCTGAGGGATTAAGGGCAAAACATAAGCAAATACTCTTCCTCCCTCAAAAAAAGAAAGCCTGTGGGGTCGTGGACCCTTGAAAATAAGTAAGTTAATTAATTATGTAATTAATTAACAATAAAAAACTAGCACTAGCAGATAACATTCTTGACTGCACAACAAGATCTCAGAGGTTAAACAATTGTTTTATAGCAGTAAAAGCTAATAAAATCCATAGACACACTGCCGTAAAGTTCACTAACTCAGCTTTACTTTCAACACTGCCTCAGTTCCCAAGCCTGAATCTGAAACCGATACAAAAATGTAAATGGATAGCCTGAACATCACCATCTGGAAGAAAAACAGGATGGGAAGAAAGGTAACCGGTGAGATTCAGGTCTACAAGGGATTCTATTTTAAAAGGGAGGCAGTTTTATCCATCTTTTTTCGGTACGTGGGCCTCTCAACGTTGTAGCCTCTCCCGTTGTGGAGCACAGGGTCCAGACGCGCAAGCTCAGCGGCCATGTCTCAGGGGCCCAGCCGCTCCGCAGCATGTGGGATTTTCCCGGACCGGGGCACGAACCCGTATCCCCTGCCTCGGCAGGCGGACTCTCAACCACTGCGCCACCAGGGAAGCCCAGTTTCGTCCATCTTTAGAATGAGGTTAAGAATACTTGGGAGGGGGGCCAACGCCTCCTCTTAACATTGTCCCTGCTCTCCCACAGGTGTTAGGTTGCAGCTTCCAGGACACACCACAGACTTTAGCAAGAAAACACGGGTGAAATCCAAGCTTTAAGAAAAGAGGGTGCACTCCCACCTCCAGCTCTGGTGCAGTTCCCACGGAGCAAAGTAAACTCGCCTGAATCCCCGGTATCTGTATCTGCCAAAAAGGAGAGGACAAGAAAGCTGGTCACGTAGCCGCCTCACAGTTCACCCTGTTCCCGCTTCTGCTCGGTCTGGAGCGTGTATATAACCAGCCGAGACGGTCCCTCTGGCTTCCTGAAGCATGAGCACAGGTAGATTCCCGGGAATTATCAGACAAGAGCCAGAGGTCTTCCGAGGCGGCTCAGACAAACCCTGAGACAATACAGTCTTCTCAGAAATCTAAATTTAGAAGACCTTCTGCGAGAAGGCGACTCGGGACTGACACCCGGGTCGGCGCCCCCACGCCCATCCTCCCCCTCCCCCAGCTCCAGCCCAGCCTGTCAGACGCCCGGGCCGTCCCGGCGCTGCCCGGCTGAGCCCGACCTGGGCCCACGCGGGGAGAGCGGCGACGCGGACGCCCCTCCCGCGCCAGAGACCTCCAGAGGGACGGAAAGTGGAACAGCCGCTGTGGGGAGCCAGCCCGGTCCGGCCTCGTCGCGGGAACCCGGGGCAGGGGGAGGGTCAGAGCCAAGGCGGCCCCCGCCCCCCCAGGCCAAAACGAGCCCCTGTTCCCCTCCCCAGACACAGACTGACAAAAGGACCGACAGCCGGCGACCAAGGGAGGGGGCGAGGAGCCCCTGCATC